AAACATCTAACTTGCACCCCTAAAGACATTTATCTCTCTAACTGCCGCAGTGAACAAACACCAATGTGACATTTCATGACATTACATAAAATTGGCTACAACTATGTGATTTTAAACATTAAAAACGTAAAAAAAAAATGAGTAAAAGTTATAGAGGCAATGTGTACTCTTTCAAGAAATGCTGAGCCTTTTTTTTCTTTTAGGAAACAAATTAACTGTTTATTTATTCTTGTAGTGTTTGACCTGTAGATTGTGTCACTTGAGTTTGTGCATGCGCACGGAGACTCCATGTAGGAAGTATTTGACAGATTTAGAGATCAGTGAAGTCTGGAGCTGCACCATATAGAGAGCAAATTTCATGGGAGGGCATCAAAGAGGGAGGCAGATCGACAAGTAGGCAGACGGTTGTGCGATGATGTTGACAGAGGACGAAGATGGGTGGGCATATCAGGTGGAAATCAGACAGGTAAAAGGAAATGGTCAGGAAAGCAGACAGCCAAAGCGGACAGGGAAACATGGATGAATATTAAACCAGACAAAGGGTCAGACAGATCCTGAGACAGGGACAAAACAGAGGACATACAAGGGAGTTGTGCTGGCAGGCAGACAGCCGTGTGGAATCAGACGAGTGTTTAGGCATGATACAGCTGGCAGGTACAAACAGAGGAAAACACAAGAAGTTGGATTAAAAACAAAAGTGTTACAGAAAAGCATGCAACCACAATGTGTGGGAAAAATGTTGTAAAACATTTAAGCTATATAAATTATGTTTTGCTTAAATTATTCAAAGTTTGAAATAGACAAACATTGAAACCGTGAGAGAAATGTATTTAAATGTGACCGACTGTCTGACTTTGTTTCAGGGGGATTTGTCACACCTGTTCCAGGAGAACAGATGGAAACAACGAAGAAATGCAAATTGTATACGTTATTCAAAACTGCTTCTAATAACTCATGAGTTATTGCACAATTAGTGTCTAACTGTTGCTGTATTCATAATTCTGAGCTATAATTCTCATCTACTACCACATCAGACTGCAGCTCAATATCTTAATTGACTTTTTTTTTGGTCAATTGTTTTTTGTCTCCCTCCCACAATGCTTTAATTTTATGAAATAATTTGCAAACAGCACTGACATCAAAAAGGTTGTTGGCCAAAATGTAAACAAAGTTCTTGACATCACGCTCAGCGTATACCACACTGAATGTATCTATAAATTTGAATCATAACCAATTTTTTTTATAAGATTTGGTAACAAACCTTATTTAAAAAAAATGTGCACAGGGAGAACATGCAAATTTCAAACAGAAAGGCCAAGAGGCAATCCTTGTGACGTTCTCGCTGCGAGGCAACAGTTCTAACTGTGGTACACTAGTCCCTCGTCCCTCGAAGGGGTTACGTTCCACACATTCCCTGCGATATGTGAAAAACCGTGAAGCAGCAATGCCGTGATTAAATATTTATTTTAAGGCTTTAGAAACCCTTCCCACACTTGCAATGTTCTAAACTCTTAAACCTACGTCATTTTAACAACATACGTGTATGTACTGCACATTGCTAGAATTTTTTTACTCGCCAGCTCTGCTGAACAGCAGCTTGGTTCTGGTTGGACTCTGTTCAGGTTTGGCAAATCTACCCTACAGCGCCCCGTCCAGGTTGAGGTGCACATGGATAATTGATCTTCAGGATTATTTGTGACTTTCCTGTCTGTCATGTGAGCTTAATAGAAAGATCGTTACTTCTCACTTTGCGGTGCAAAACGTTCCCTCCATTTCAGCAGAAAGCAGCAGCAGAAGCACAGTTGGCTTCTGGGTAGTGTAGTTCTTTTGAGTGGTGTTGCAGTATAGGCTTATTGAAAGAAAACTAGAATAGCGGTATCTGTCTGAAGTGTTGTTTTTTTTTTTTTTTTATATATACACCGTACCGGCCCAATCACATGAGTAATATTAAAGTTGACAATAGTCGATAAAGCGAGTCCACTAAAGTCAAATTGTGTCCACCCCCCGCTTCATTTGGAAACGACCAAACATGGCGTTACCACCTCTGAAGCGTACCCTCTAACTTCAAAGTTTGTAATAATTTCTTCTGTGTTCCTCCACTCCTATAAGTTTTATATGTATACACCATTTTTCTGTAGTGAAGAAACAGTCTGAACAAGTTAAACACACATTTTAAAAAGTTGAAATGTTCTTTGTGCGCTCCACTCAAATGGCAGAGGCAATATTCAGCATGTGTGGAACTGAAATGTCTTTTCATCAAAACATAAAATTAGAGTTTGCACTCTGACTCAGAGCCTTTTTGATAGCTTATATACATCAGTATAGAATTGCTTTTAGCAGCGGCAACTCTTAAACACAGCTCACGTTGAATATGTCTGAATACATAGAACGATTTTTTTTTTTTTTGTTTAATAAATGTTTTTTTTTTCCTCATTATTATAGCCCTGAAGTCAAATTTGTATGAAACCTTGAACTTGCTGCAGCTGAAGTGGCATTTTGTATTCGTTTTCTGTTTTTATCCCCTCTCAACTCCTATTTTTTTCAGATTTTGCCTCTGCACACCCATTGTCATGCTTTTTTGTTGAAAATCTGTTAGATTTATTTCTGTAACATCAGGTCTTGATCTTAGTGCACCGTGTAAAATGCCTTGAGATGACATGTGTTGTGCTCTGGAGCTACACAAATACTGCATAACAGAATTTAACTAAATATACTGTAATTTCTTATTTCTTTCTCACCCCATTTTATTTTTCTCATTGTTTCACCCCCTCCTTTTCCCTCAGTTCAATATTATCCATTTCTAAACCAAGTGGTCTCATTGTTCAATCAAAGCCTGGTTTCAGGCCCTCTCTCGCTCTCCGTTCCTTTTTCCCAGGTTATTTGAGGTCAGCTGGAACTGAATTGATCAAGGCCATCAAACTTCTGGTATTTTTCATTTCAAACTGGACCATTAAACCATTATTCTAGAGCAGACTATTGAATGCAGACTGAGGCTGCTGATTTGGTACAGACTTTCAGCCTGACAATGATTTTCTCTAAACCAAATAAAGTGGGTTGCAAAAGTATTAACCTTTTTAATATTTATATTTTATTGTCATGACATTTAATGGACTTTATTGACTAAAATTGTAATTTAAAAAAAATCTGAAAACATGGGGGACAAATGTGTTTTTATGTTAAAATGTACGATTTTGAGTGATCGTGCTTTGGCAAATACAGCAACACGTACAGTACGTCTCCATGTGGCACTTCATTTTGTCTATTTATGTCAGGTCTCTCTTGTAAATGAGTCTGAGGCTCAATGGGATTTACCTGTTTAAATAAAGGTTGAATGAATGTGATAAACTAGTTAATTCAAGTTTGATAGGTGCTTTTTGTGTCCAACCATGTTTGATGTGCACCAGAGATTTCCAGTTGGATTAAGGTCTTGGCTTTGACTAGGACCAGTTTCTCCTTAAAGCACTTAAGTGCTGCTTCCGTGGTGCGCTTAAGGTCATTATCCTGTTGGAAGGTAAACTTTGTCCCCGTCTCAAATACGTCACATCCTTCAACACTATTTATTTATTTATTTTTTTTTATTAATTTATTTTTTTATCTATTTAGTCCCCGAACCGTCTGATGGAAGAACTTTCCTGCAGCGTGATGCTGCAGTTCATTCTTCACTTTAGGGGTGTTGTCAGAAATTCTGTTTGAGCCACATGGTGTTCTTTATAGCAATAGTACCATAAATAGTGCCTTCAAAATGCATCACCGTCCACATTTTTGACCAAAAATAAATAAATAAATAAATAAAATCTTTTTAAAAAGTCTGCTGTTTTCATTGTTGTGGTTCAATGTTTTTTGTGGTTGTGGTTTTCTTTCTTTACTTTTTTGTCTTGACTACTTATCCAAGAAGCTTAGCTCTGTGCATGTGTATTTAATGGTCCTTCTCCATGAAAGTCATAAATTATCCCTTGTTAGTCATCTTGTTTGCCTGTTGTGCATTTATTTACGTAGGAGCTAACTACAACTTTGCAGGAAAACAAGACAAACTGACATTCATTGTCAAACCTTTTCATTCATTCAACCTTTAGACTGGTTAGTCCCACTGAGCCTTGAGGACTCATTTACAAGAGACCTGATTTCAACAAAGAATTATGACAACAGTGGGACAACAATAGACGGTTATAAAAAAAGCATACAAATGTTGTGTTTGTTTGTTTGTTTGACATTGTTGACAGTTTCTGAGTAGCACGTTTTACACCAGTTGGTTTCGTATTTTTTCAATTTATTAGACGTGTGCACTTCTCAGTGCCTGACACAAGTAGATTGAAGTAGGGGGTTAAATCTCTGAAGCGTGCGTAAAGGCACCGCACATCCTGTGCCAGGGTTCTCATAGTGTTAGTACAGAGGTTGGCTCGAGCTTAGCACCACGCGCACTCTTCAAATGTCTGCTTGCAAATTGGGGAAAATATGTGTGTGTTTTTTTGTTGTTTTTTTTTTGCACTGTGCACCTGTGGGTGCGTCCTGCTGTGTTGGCCCCTGCTTTGTGGATAAAACAAGAATGATTTTCTTTGAACCATCACGTTGCTTTTGTTGCACTGGAGGATTTCACTGTTCTGGAATGCGCATTAACCTCTTTTCGACATTTCCTCCTCTGGGCTTGTCTACACTCTGCCGCGTGCGCTCTTCTGCCGCTGGGATACGTGGAAATAATACGCTTTGATTGTTTCATAATCAGCTGGCCTTGAAAAATGAAACTCCTTTGAGATGAAAAGCTGCACTTTTGGGGATCACCTTTTGCTCGTGCGCGGCTCGTGCCTGATCTTGCGCCTCAACAGCCTGTTGTTTGTGTCCGAGCAGGAACGCACAAGTTTGACGCGAGCTGGAGCCGGAGCGAGGACTGCAGCTAGTCTGCGCCGCACATTAGGGCCAAAAGCGGGGGGCCAGCAGTGGGACCGGCAGTGCGGCCCCGCTGTTGCGTTGTCGCGTGGTTGGACGGGGGATCCGGCGCAGTTGTGGAGCGGGGATGACGAAGCCGGTGGTGATGAGGATGATGATGAATGGCTCGACAGCTCAACCAGGCACTGGGCTCTCGCCACCACTCCGTCTCCTGCTGTGCGCTCTTCTTTTTCTCCCTCCATGCGCACACTCGCACCCGCAGCCGTGCCAGGTGCTAAAACGGATCGGCCACACCGTTCGGGTGGGGGCTCTGCACGTTCAGCCCCGCTTGCTGCCCACAGCTGATGGCAGCGGTTCTGAGGAAGCCTTGGCGGGAGAGCAGCAGCATTTGGAGTTAAAGAAACCGATTAAAACCGGTGCCAGCGCGCACGGATTTGGAAACCTCAGGACTAGAGTCCCCGCTAACAACCAGCGGGGCGCAAACAGGAGTAAAAGCCAGACGCGACAGCGGGAGGGGAACCCCGCAAAGGAGGATCGCGTGTTCTCACCCCGGGAGTCGGTCCTGCTCGCGGCCGAAGCTCTGAACCAGGCCGGATTGCTTCCATACAATTTGTCCCTGGAGCTCGTCATGGCGGTCGGTTCCGCGCTTGGCGAGCTGCCGGCGTTCTCGCACTCCTCGGCGGGCGTCCCCGAGGACGAGGACCCGCTGTCCTTCTTGGAGAGCGTGTGTCACACCGTGGTCGTCCAGGGTGTTTCTGCCATGCTCTCCTTCCCACGGAACCGGGACGAGCTCCTCAAGTTGGAATTCATCTCTCTTGTACTCCAGGTGCCCGTGGTCAGCGTTGTGCACAGGGAAATCTCGCGCCACAGTGAGGTAAATGGGAAAAAAAAAAAAGTTTATTTAAAGATACTTCTGCTTCATCTTGACACTGTAGCATCAAATTACGTGCAGCAAGTTTATTATAAGCTCACATTTCAGGAGAACAGGAGCTTCAGTTTATACAGAAATGGTTGATTTTCGATCTTTTAACCAAAACGGAGAAAATCCTTCCACTCTGTTCTCCCTTTTTTTTTTAAAGATAGCAAACAGGAAGCTGCTATATTTCTCCTATATTTGTAGTGCTGAATTCTTTATAAATGTTGACCAAATCTCCTCTTATGTTTGTGGGAAAATAATTTTAGTAGCACAATTTTTTTACTTTAAAACCAAAACCGAAAGAACTATGCGCTGTCCATGGTGCTGAAACGTCCAAATCCAGAACAATGGACAAATAATGTTTCATCCTCATCTTTGTTGGAGAAGTTTAGGGGTAGAATAAATGATCTCCACATTACCTGCCAACTCTATGAACAAAATATCTTATATTTAACCACATGAAGACTGAACACGCCAGCAGTTTGGTGAAAGCACTGAATTTACCTCCGTGTGCTGAAAAATCCAATAAGCAGCACTGCAGATCAAACCCTTTTCTACATTCTGATGTGGTGATCTGAGCAGCATACAGAAACCAACTCGCTCATGCAGAACCACTTTTGTCTTGATAAATCTCCTTCCATTTGGCTTCTTCCTGCAGTGAATGCACAGCAAATAATGTGACCTCACAGAAAGCATTTTAATGGTTTCACATGAAAAGTAACAGTTTTTTTTCTTCTCTGAGAGTTGCCATTGTAAAAGTACCATTACCAAATTGCCATACGTGACCATCAGGGTTGTACCCCACCCACAGATCAATGAGTTAAAAGTCATCTTATAGTCTTGCATAATGCTTGATTAAGGCTTTTTTTTACTGTGGGGTTCTCAGTTTCTTATTAACTTGGAGTCAGAGAGTGAAGCACAAGTATGTGATTACTACAAAGCAGTTTATTTTCCCATAAGTTGGCTAACAAAGTTTAGTGTGGTTCTGGGTGGTAACTGCATTGAAACCCTTCAACAATTTTAGAAATGTTCTTAGTCCTGCATTATTCCAAAAGCATTTTAAAATGTCTCAAGGAACAGAAACTGTCACAAATGGCATGTGAATTGCAGGACACAAATACAGGCAAAAATCAAATGGAAAAACTGAAGAGGATAAAATGATTTATTATAGTTTTGGGACAGAATAATCTCAAAGGTGACAAACACACTAAGGTGCTGTCAATGAGGATCTGGCAAAAAAAAAAAAAAAAGAAGATAAAATTAGGAGGTAAAATAATTACAAGTAGTCTACTGGAGAACTAATTAAAAACAGAACAATGATGTAGCAAAGAGTTGAAGCAAATGTGCCAAAATTCCAAGAGGATTTATTTCACTTAAAAAAAAAAAAAAAAAAAAAAAAACGGAAGTAAGGTGCAAGACAGTGAAACAACTGAAAACCAAAAATATGAAACATGAGGACAGAACACAAGACAAATCTTGAGATCCAGGATTGTGAAAATCCAAAGATGTTACAATACAGCCCCGTATACACCTGAACCCATCCATCCATCATCTTTATACACTTCTTCCTTTTCGGGTCACGGGGGTCACTGGTGTCCACTGGTGCCCACGTTCATTTATCCGTGTGTGAGAGGCGAGGGGCATCCTGCATGGGTGGCAAGTCCATCACAGGGACACAGAGACAAATGAGACACTCTCTCACTCGCACCTAGGACAATTCAGAGTTGCCAGTCAGTCTAACATGCATGTTTTTGGTCTGTGGAAGGAAACCGGAGTACCTGGAGAAAACACACGCATGCACGGAGAGAACATGCAAACTCCACCCAGAAAGGTCCCATGCCGGGATTTGAACAGACGACCTGCTCACTGAGGCAACAGCTCCACCAACTCTGCCACCATGCCACCTCTTGAACCCTGTATTATAAATGAGTTTCCACACTCAAAGAATAAACATAAATTGTTATGGAATTTAATTGACTGTCATTATGAATTTGCTGCTTAAGTAAAATATCAATTCATTTTATGAGTGATCAGTTCAACTCTTCTGCCAAGTGCTCTAATTAGAACCTTGCTGTAGAGTCTGCACTTTGAAGGAGAGCAATATAAACTTAAACTGCAAGTGTAAACACTTTGAAAACAGTTACTTGGAAGTTACCAGGCATTTTTTATTTAATTTTATTTATTTTGTGTTAAGTGTGTGTAGTGTGTTTTAAGGTAGAGTTTAAGTGAACTGCTATGCTGCATCTATTGTATGTTCCCATACAATGACAAAATTAGTTCTATACATTTAACCCATCACACGTGAGATACACTCAAGAGGAGCTGTGGGCAGCTATGAAAGCGCCCAGGGAGCAAATTAGGGATTAGGTGCCTTGCACAAGGACACCATGGCATGTAGGCATGGTGGGGAGTTGAGCCTGCAACTTCCTAGTCCCAAGTTGGCTGCCCTACCTCTACATCATCCCGACCTCCAAGAATGTGTGTGCGTGTCTTTGGGGGGAAGGGGTGCATTATACAAACTATTGTGCACACAATTTATAGGTAAAAAGCATCCTTAATATTTTGTGTGCAGATGTTTATGCAAAAAAAAAACAAAAAAACTCATTAACTACAGGACAAATAGTTATAAAAACATATCAGAAAATGTGTGTCTATAGGACATCTACAACTAAATAATTTTGATGTGGTTCATACCGAAATATTTTGGAGTCAGTGCAATCAAGATTTCTGCCACAGCCAAGTGCTATTAGTAGACACAAACATGATGATAGTTCAGTTCTTTCAACATATATTAAGACATTTAGCTAAACTTTACCTTCAACATATTTATTGACATATTGTACTCTGTCTTCCTTTAAAGTTGTTGGCATTACCTGTTGGGATCAACTCTGTTTTCAAAATTTCATGAACCAATGGACACATTTTAAGTTTTGAATTGATTAATTAGATGTACATACACCATGCATTACATTTTGTAGTTGGTTTAGTTATTTAGGTAGTTCAGATCACAAATGGCCATCACAATAATATAATATATTTCCATTGCATCAGGAGTATAATAAAACTGAGTTTGCTTTCTTGAGGGTAGGAGGTAAAAAATAAATAAATAAATAAAAATCACAATATAAAAAAGTGACATAGTATAGAAATAAAAACATGTTATAAAAGTTTAAAAAGTAAAATAAAATACACATTTAGAAACTATTCGAGCACTTAACACCTCCATATGTCAAATTAGTAAGGTTGATAACCCACTTGTTGTCCCTTTGGCATTCATTGAGTTCAATTATGGCCTTTGTATTAATAAAAAAATATATAATAATAACAACAATAGGCATCGAGTCTGGTAGTGCAAGCTGTGAATGTCCTAGTGTCTCCCAAAAAGGTAAGATGATGAGATGAGGGCAGATCACATCTTTTAGGGTGTTGTGGCTTCTGTGGAGGCAACAGGTTCGGAAAATGTTTTCCAGAGAGGGCAGTCTGTAGCTGATCATTTTCTCAAATGTTCAGTATATGAGCAAATTCTCAATAGTGCAATAAGAGGCTCTGAGCAGCTCCACTAAAAGTTATCTTTTTTTAGTGTTCTTAGAAAGTAGAGCTGCTTTTGAGCAATTTTTTTTACCAGTGCAGAGGAGTTGATTAACCATTTGAGGTCTTTACTAATGTATTTCTCTATATACTTAAAAGTTGCAGACTTGCTCCACTCCCTCTTCCCTGATAATTCCTGATAATTAGGAGAGTGTGGCCATTATGGTGTTCCCTGAAGCCAAAAATGGTATTTTCTATTAATGTTGTGTTGGGTTATTGTCCATGCACCAGTCTGCCTCGTGTCATCTGTAAACTGTATTATGATGTTTGTGAAGTAAATGGGAGTATAGTCAGCTGTATAGAGTGAGTACAACATAGGGCTGAGGACGCAACCTTGAGGTGCTCCTGTGCCGAGTACTAGACTGGTGGAAAACTGTTTGCATCTTACTGTCTGCAAACAATTAGAAAGGAAGTCCTTCATTCACGTGCATGTGGTTTCTGAGGCCCGTACCAAGTGGTTTGTTGACCAGACTGGTGGGGAGGATGGTACTGAATGTGGAGGTATAGTCAATGAAAAGCATTTTCACATACGTGTAGAATGTGCAACTTCCCCTGCATGTCTTAATATCTGCCTCACCTCATGGGTCTGAACATCTGGGGGTCAGCTGCAGCAGCAGCACTTGCAGCATCTAAAAGAGGCCCTCATCCTCTATCTTTACTCTGTGCAGTTTCGAAGAAAGCAAGAAAAAAAAAACTGAATTATTCTAGAAAGTGGGTGTGGTAGTCTGGAGGTGTTTGATGATTTCTCTTGTAATCAGTGCAGTGCTGAATGTCCTGCCACATCTGTCGAGTCCCTATTGAGAAAGTGAACCTCAATATTTTCCTTGTAAGCAGCTCTTGCCTGTTTTATGCTCTTTTGCAGGTTTTGCATAGCTGTGCAGTACTGCTTTCTGTCCCCCAACCTGAATAATGCATTACACTTTTTCAGCAGAACCTGGACCACTTTTTTTATTTTTTTTTATTCAACCTTCATTTATACAGATAGTCCCATTGAGCTTCAGGGACTCATTTACAGGAGACATGATAACATTTTAAAAAAAGAATGATAATGGTAGACAATCACAAAAGAAAGCATACAAATTAAGAACAAATGAAAGAAAAATTATATTAAAAAAAACAAACAGCTAGACTGTAAAGTGATGTAGAATAATAAAAACAGGAACATGTCTGTTGTTGTTTGCCATGATCATGACAGGTGTTTGAAGCCACTTAGAGAGGTCAAGGTCGAGAGCGTCAGATCTTTTTTTGCAAGATATTCTAGGATACAGGAGTAGAAGGCCCTTTTGCCTAGTTCAGTCCTCACTGAGGCTTGATGACCACTTTTGTCATCCAAGGGTTCTTGTTTCGCATTTGTCAAGCAAATCTACACA